CCCCCAGCTTTAATGGCTTCCGCATTTCTTTCCAGCAAATCCAGCAGGATTGGCCGAACTTGGCGACCGACCAGTACAGTACATTCCTTATCCAGCAGTAACTGGGCTAGAGTATCGAGGATGCATTGCCGATCCTGCTGCGTCCAGACCTGCGGGAATGGAAGGTAAGAGTAAGTTAAAAAGGGGAAGAAAACAAAACAAAATAAAAACAAACAAAAACCCAAACAAAAAACACACAAAAAAATCAAAACAAACAAACAACAAGCAACCAACACTTTTAGACTTCTAATTTCAAAATTGCTTATGCAGAATTCACAGGCAAGTCTGTCTTGCAAAAAAAAATAGAAATAAAAAAGAATTCCCGCTGATATCAACAACTTAGTCATGGATAAACCACATTTGAGTTGCACCATGTTCATTCTTTTCAAAAATAACAAGCACTTAATCAAACATGGTTTCAAGCAAGGTATCTGCAGCTTTAATTTTCTTTTCTCCTTACTTAAACACAAATACCTTTATATAAATTTATTTGTATATATTTTTCTTACTTGTACATAAAAATGAGGCCATTTATGTCATACTTTTAGAGCCAAAAAAAAGAACATTACGCTTTAGGATAGAAAATCCTGTCAAAAAAAAATCTAACTTTGTTATTGAAGAATAACAGTCCATTTCCTTTGTCCTTAAACATGAGGCTTTTTCAGTCTTTGAGCTCCTTTTATTATCCAAGAACCTTTCCAACACTGTTTAACATATAACACAGTATACATAATTACGATTTGTGAAAATCAGCATTATGAATTTGTGCAGTTTTGCTCTTAACTTTGACCCTCCAGACTCACTCATTGCTAGAGGGAACCGTTATCTCCTATCAAGATGAAACTATTTTTCTTGGCAAATAGTAGTGAGTAGCACTAGACAAGGCAGCTTTCCAAACAAAACAGAAATAATCACTGAATCGGTCCCTACAGAAACAGTCTGTGATTCTGATAGTCTCTCATTTTAGCTACCTGTGCTGTCTGTCAACTTCTGCTTCTCCCAAGCTGTTACTTATGTGAGAGCTGCTGCTGGGCATGCAGAAGGAAGGGGTGGTTGGAAGATAACACCTTGCAAAGGTGCTGCTGGCTGCCTTTGGAAGAGTGCCCTCCTAAGGCTATACCTCTGCTGACACCCCCTTAGGATATGCGCATCACATTGCTGCTCCTGTGACCCATGCTGAATTGGAAACAAAGCCATTCACTCCTATCAGTAGGGTACCCAACTGCAGTATGTGACACCAACATTAAAACTATCACGTTAAGCTACTAGTTCCAAGCAGTTTCTCAGTTGCATTCAGCTCTGTTTTTGTGGAACATGATATAAGTTTTATTGCCTTTCCTCTTATCTATCACAGTAGAATTAAAAATAGACTATTTTAAAGTAGAGCTGAAAATCTGCACTTGTTACAGAGGAAGAAAATGTTCATCACAGGATTTAAAATCTGGACCAGATTTGGAGTGGAAGAATGACTAACAAACTGTTCAAAGGCAGTACAGCTCAAAAAAACTGGAAGCAAATGTCAAGTAAAGATTAAAAAGCATTTTCAGTGTACAAATCAGTTCCATCTTTGGCTACTGACACGAGTGCAGACTGTTGTATATAATCCCCATTCTTACAATGGCTCTTAAGAGCAAGCAGTATTTTATGTTTAGTGCGTAAAACTGCAAAAAAAAAAAAAAAAGAAAAAAAAAAAGTCACAGCCCCATTCTACAACAAGACAAGAGGTTCCAGGGTTCTGGGAGAGGCACCCGAGCCTATTGCTGAAGAGGATGAGATCCTGTGCTCAAGCAACACCTCATCCCAAACCCAGTCTTGTGGAACAACTCATCGTGCCACAGGAGAGACACTGTCCCAGCCACTGTCCCCACTAAGTGACAGGGCAAGCACAGGGAACACTCCGGGGCCACGTGAAAGCCACATTTCTGATCTTGGCTCTCAGGCATTTCCACACAGTTACAGGGGGCATCTCAGCATAAGGGATGCAGCGGGAAGGGCTGTGTGCTGGGCCCGAGGCACCTTCATGTTCTGACTAGAAGTAGTAGAATTTTCACTCTTGCACAGAAGACAGGAAGGGTGCTGAGCTAAAGCACTAATGGAATAGGTCAGATCTGAACCGCAGTGCTTGAGATGTCCTTAAGCTGGTCCCATAGGCAAAATGTAAGGGCTGCCCCAAAGCGTCAGTTATTTTCCAGTTACACTGTTCGGTGCACGTGCAGCCCTTAGAACTCTGCAGGGTTGGAAAGGCAGAAAGGCACAAGGCTGTTTTTGCCCTGCACTTCCCTTCATACTAGCATTTTAACTTTCGCATTCATGAACTCATCCATGGAAATTACAGTCACTGGGAGCTAAGGATAAATTTATTCCTGCACAAAACCTGCCCTTGATTCCATATATAAAAGTACTGATTCAGAAATAGTTTTTGTACCACAAAAAAAAAAAAACACAACAGTTTATGAAGCTATTTTTTCCAGTTCATATAGAAATTTACTTCAGCATGTGTATCTGCCATATTAAATATTAAGCAATCAATCTACTCAAAGTAATGCAACAGATCACATGCAAATATTCCAAAGGTTAAATTCCAATTCCTTTTTGTAGAAGTTTAATAATGTTTCCAAATGGAAGCAACATGATACATTTAGTTCATTAAACTGTTTCGACATTTGTGAATAATATAAATGCTGAAACCTACGGAAACTGAAGCCCTAGTTCTGAAAAAGCACAACCTGAAAATGCCTCTACAACAACCTAGCGCTTACATGATTTGCTTAAATAACCCCAAAATAGAAACCCAGAAAGCCAAGACTACACACTGAAGTATACAGAGCAAGATTTTTCCCTACCATGTGAGCAGTGACTTAGTATGAATCTCAAAATGCTCTTGTTCCTTACTTAAGGGATCGGAGGCAACTCCCATTGGGAGTGATTTGGGAAATACCAGAGGAACAGGAAGGCAGGATGACAACAAAGCCCTAGCTGCACAGATTACACACCTCTTATGTTACCTACAGAGCAACCGGTAAAAAAACAAGACAAGATTACTGACCGAAGCCAGCGCTTGTTTAGTGGTAAAGCAAGTGTAACATGAAACCCTAGATCTGTAGTTTCAAAGCTTGGGAGTAGCAGCAGCTCAGTCACCAAAACAATACACCTCTGCTCTGATGGGCTGTTGGGGAGGCTCTGCACATCTTACCCTTTCTGGTCTTCACTGCTTTCTACTTAGCTACTTCAAGCAAAGGGCAACAACAGGAAAAGGGCACAGCCTCTTTCCTGGTCTTTGAAGGTGATGATTCCCTCCCAGTTCACCCCTCCATCTGTCTGCTACATCATACCTGTGGGGAGAGAGAGTGTTTTTGCACCGCTCTGGTCCTCTCCTCTTTTGCTCAGATGTTTCTCTAAAAGAGCACTTCTTATCATCCCCAACTACTTCCCACCACCTAGCAGCAACTCTCAGATGCAGCAATATAATATACACACTCTTGTCAAATGTACTTTCATCCTGTGATTTAGAGTGACAGAAGAAAAAGCCACTCGTCTAGCAAAAAAGCACCCGAATACAGTAAGAGTTATTTTTTTCTCCAACCATAGCTAATAGACAGCAATTTACAGTGAAAGTCTATATTCTTATATACATACACATATATATTTTTCAGACACTCTAGAGGAAAAAAAAAGAATTTTGAGTCTTGAAACATGCGTACAATTTAGGGGCTTCAAAAACTCTGCAACAATATTAAGCCTGACACGTTGATATCCTGTCACAGGCAACAACCTCACTCTTCCCGCTACTTTGCTTACAATGAAAGAATCAACAACGACAACAACCAACAGTCCCAGGCGCGGCCCGCTCACCTGCTTGGCCAGGAACCTGCCCAGCTCCGCGCTGCTCTTCTCGTTCCTGCGCGCCACGAGCTGCAGCGGCTCGGCCAGGC